TTAGAGGGCCAGAGAGTTGACATAAGTGGGTCATATTCTAAAACTTGCAATTTTATAAGACAGAGTACAAACTTTCAGGGCAAAAGGGACTTTGCAGATACAATTCAAGTTAAGGACCATGAGATGGGGAGATTATCATGGATTACCTAGGTAGGTCCAGTCAAATCCTGTGAATTTTTAAAAGTGAAAGAGAAAGTGAATTGGTCAGCACATGAAAAAAGACACTCCCCAACCCTCTACCATTGTTTCTGGCTTTGAGGATGGAAAATAAGACATAAGCCAAGAAGCATAGGTGGCTTCTCAACTGTGAGAATGGCTTTCAATTTACGGCCAGCAAGGAAAATATAGACCTTGCTCCCACAACCGAAAGGAACTGGGTTCTGCCAATAACACAACTAGGCAGGAAACGGATTCTACCTGAGTGCCTCCAGAAAGGAACACAGCCTATCAGCACTTTGATTTTAGTCTGCTGAGAGTGGAAATGGACCTTGGTTCTACAGAACACTTAAAATAACAAATTTGTGTTTTAAGCCACTAAACTTATGGTAATTTGTGACAGCAGCAACAGGGGACTAGTACACTGAAGTTTTCTACTTGAATTACTTGGCTGGTGTTATCAGCATATGTTAAATTTAGGAGAGGATCAAGTATAGAAATGATGTGGAGTGTGGAGATTGAGTTCTTAGACATACTGAGTTAGAGAGGGAGTGACAGTGAGGGGTTCACATGGCAGTATGGAGAGCACAGTTGGCAGGTGGTTAGCAGTAACTTGAAAAAAAGTGCAGTGCAGGTGATGGAGGGAAAAAGACTTCATCAAGGTGACAGTTTCTTGAGTTTCTAGTTGTTCTGACTCTGTTTGGCTTCCACTAAAAGCTTGTGCTCTCCAAACTCTTACTTATCATAATTGGAATATATGGGATTTGTTTTTTTTTTAAACGACCAAAGTGATAATGAGTACATTTTCTAAGCAGATCACAATACTTTTATTTATTGCCTTCAATCAAGACTTCAGTAAGTGAATAATGCTTTAAAATGTGCTCTTTGTAGGTTTCCAAAGGAGAATCTAAAAATTTTAAATGTCTTTGTTTATGAATCTTTTTAGCGATGGGAATGTTTTGTCTCCTACAAGTGGCATGGAGCCCAAATATATGACTCATTGGAAATAACGACCACCCCTCATTGTAATAAATGGGAAGTGAGTTGGGAGAGAGCCCAAGAGAAACATTGATACTCAGCGAAGTGTAAGGCCTGTGGTGATATCTTTATGTTGGACCCAGGAGGAATGATATGGAACATCATAAGAGACAGAAAAAGTGAATCACTGAGCGATGGGGTTCCCACTGAGCAATTGGGCCCCCACAAGGGGGCAACAATGTCAAAAGAAGAAAATAAACAATAATAATTTAAAAATCTCTAGCCTTAATTTATTGGATTTCCTCCCTTCATCAAAGTAGATCGTTGTCTTTTTATTTTGGGTTTTTATATAAGAGGAAACCGTGCTATATTTAAGCTTGTGTCTCATTTATTTTGCTCAACATTATGGTGCTAAGGTGCATCCCTTTTTCTACAAATGGCTCAGGTTTATCTTTCTTTATGGCAGAGTGGAACTCTATTGTGCATAAACACCACATTTTCTTTATCCATTCATCTGTTACTGAATATAGGATGCTTCCCAGATTTAGCTATTTTGAGATGGGAAGAGGATCAAGAAATGGAGGGAGGCGAGAAGGAAAGGGGAAAGGAACTAAGATGTGGTTTGTACTTGTACATTTCCCCACAAGGAATGTAAACATTCTCAGCTACAAACATACACTAATTAAAAAATAGGACCCAGGTGTGATGGCGCATGCTTCTAATGCTAGCATTTGGGAAACTGAGACAAGAATATCACCGTGAATTCAAGGCCAGCCTGGGCTACATAGTGAGTTCAGCCTGAACTACATAGTGAAAACCTGTTTCAAAAGCCCAGAGTAAACAAATAAGTTTTAAAAGATCATTATCTGTTCTTTTGGGAAATCCTGGAAGCCATGGAAGTTCCAAAAAAAGACCAGCTCTGCCTGTGACCAAAGCCAACAAAGTCTATATTTTGATGAAGGTTTAGCTCTTGATTGTGAGTCTGTAGCTCTGAAAGCTAGCTGCCCAGATGTGGCGGCCCAGTTTTGTGGGCTTCAGTAACTTCCTTCTCACCTTTGGTTTTCTTCCTACCCTTGAGTTGCCCATTTTCTCTAATACCTAAAAGGTGAAACTCAAATCAGCCCCATTCCCTGGATCAAAGGATTTGGCAGTGGGAAAGGTTGGAACCCTTGGTGCCTGTGGTCAGTCACTAGGCCAAATTGTAAAGGAAGCACAGCCCTAGCTGTCTTTCAGCATCAGCCTCTGTTCCTTTCCTCTGACACTCTGCTCTCTCCTAGTGCCTTCATGCTGTTTCCTGGTTTTGCCTTACTCCTGCCGTAGTCCACTTCAACTTACCCTCTCTGTCAAGTGTCATTGTCAGGGTAGCCTGTATTGAGTGTTGATTTTTCCCCAGTGCTTTTGCACATTGCCATTATAGTACAACTTTTCTAGATAAGAAGAATTCAGCCAATTCAAATTAATTCATGCTAATATGTGAATGGCAGCTCCCTAGTACTCCCAAGAGTATTTTTTAAATTAACCCTTTAGAAGTTAGCTGAACATACTTTTTGATTGGTGAAATATTAAAGTAGCGTGAGGGCTATATTGAAGATTTAAGACTAAGGAAGAGGTAATTCCAATTAAGTTAAGCCCTAAGGCCTCTAATCACTCTGCCTACCCTTGACTTGTTGGCTTCAGGGGAAGTGGAGACTTGAGGGTTCATTCAGTCCTCCTTTGCAGCAGAACTGTGGTTTTCATTATCCCATGAAGTAATCAGTAGCCTGCCATCATTTCAATAAAATAAGCTCCTAGAGACCTCTAGGTATGTTTCCTCAGGCAGTTTTAGTTTCCAAACATACTTATTCTCTTCTACTAATTGTATGCCAAAATAACACTAAGAAAATAAATAATCTTTTATAATTAAAAACATTTTTAAAACATTTATAACACCCTGTGCTGGATGTGGTGGTGCACACTTGTAATCCAGCTCAGAAGGCTGAGGCAGGAGGATTGCCGCAAGTTTGAGACCAGCCAAACTGCAAAACAAGACCCTGTCTCGAAAACAAATAAACAAAAATCTGTAACACCCTATGTGGTGACAATTTAAGAAAGTAAAACTCTTGTATGCAGAAAAGGATAGTATAATTGGTTCAAGTTTTCTATAGGGCATTTTGATGATCAAAATGCACGGCAATTTTGAAAGAAATAGCCTTATATATATACAAAAGTTTAGCACTGTTTGTAATTATGAAAATTGTCCACACCAAAATGTCTGCAAAAATAAAATTTTATATAAATGACACATCCAATTAATGAAATGCTATGCGACCATCACAATTTGTGGAAAATTGTTTAATAATAAAAAACAAATTTCAGAACATACTAGCACAACAAAAATCAAGTTATAAATAGTTCTTTGTGGTATATAAATATGTATATATTTATATACATATAAATATATAAACACATGTTTGCATATATCTATATACACATGTAGGTATACACATAGAAAGGAAAGAACATATGCCGAAATATTAATGTCATTTACCTCCAGATGATGAAATTTTTAGATGATTTTTATTTTCTTCTTTTTATTTACATGGTTAGGTTCTGACCTGTGCTGTTTTGTTGTTATGTCCTCTTTTATCTCAATCTCCTTTTTTATTATTTTTTTTTATTTTTATATTTTTAATTAAGGGAAAAATAAATAAAAATAGCAGGATATATTATAGTAACCCACTTTGATTTCCTATTAATTTGATTGGAAACCCTGTATTGCTCTCACCATCTTGTTTTGACTGATTTTCCTCTATTCTGTTTTGCTTGATAGTACCGAGTTTGAGAATGTAGGCAACAACTGTGAAGAAAATAAGGTTCACTATGATGCCCATTCTGGTTTGACTATTATCTTCTTTTGAAGTCTTGGAATGTCTCAAGTGTTTTGGTTTTATTCTTTACTGTTTTGTTCAATTTTATTATAACTGATGATATAGGCAGCTCTTTTTAAGCTAGCAAGAGGCATTATGGTAACCACTGTTGATCACCTTGTATTCTGTTTTTACATTATGTACTATATCCATCCTTTTGATTTGACTGACTGTTTTGTTATGTCACATTGGGTTTTATTCTCTTCAAAAAAAGTATTAAGAACTATGGGAGTAATAAAACCCAAAATGTGTAACTGTCATTGTAAAAAAGAGAGGAAAATAAAGTGCTCTACAAGATATAACTGCATGTATATTTAAGCATATAAGATAGATAACCATATTTCTGAGTTTTTGTTGGATCACTGAACAGAACTGTTTTCAGTTTCACTGTTTGAATGTCCATTTTATATGCTTTAATTTTGTAACTTGAACAACCATTTCTAAGATGACAATATGTAATTTATTAACTAGTGATTTCCTACTGTTTTTTTTTGAAATTCTGTATAACTTGTACCCTTTTTATGTTTTTTTTCTTTTTCTCCTTAAATAAAATTTTTTAAAAAGATGTGGCAATAATAGGCACAAAGTTTGTGTTAAAAGGAAGTGAAGTTAGTGAAAGTATAATTTATGCAGGCATATACATTTTTTCTACACATTTTCAGTATTTCCCAACAACTGAAGATCTTGGCCATCACTTTAGATTGAAATGCATCAAACCATTATATAATAAAAAACAGGAAACACCATCCACAGTGAAAAATTGAGAGTATTGCCTCACCAGAGGTATCTTGAAGGGAATTAAAATCACTGCATCAGGGTGTTCAAAATAATAGTTAACATATTACACTCTTTTGGTGGCTGTTTACAGCTCAATTTACATTCATTGCCATTACAGATGTTACACTCCCACAAATTTGTGCATAAACTTAACTAATTTTATATCACCTTTTTCCTTGACAGAAAATGCTGATAATTCCAGTTTGTCATCACCACCTGGTAAGACTATTATTTGATGAATGGGGAATTTTAAGAAAATTATTGTTCTAAAAGTTTTCCTGCCAATATGGCATATGGTCTGATACTGCAAAATTGTTTTCCTCCAAGTAGCTTACTTAAATTATGTCATTAAATCTACATCTGAAAAATCAATAGCAAACATAGACAAGACAGGCAAATCGATTCTTCTGTATGGCCAAACAGAGCTGGGAAGTAAATAGCTGGGGAATAATGTAGATTTACATTATGGCAGCTGCTGCAGTTCTTCAGTTCATGTTTTCTAGAGTATCAAGAAATTAAACACTCCACCTGTTCTTACATTTTAAAGGATAAGATGGTCTCTTAAACACACACCCTCAGTGCCCTCACTGAAATAATATTTTTCAAAAGGCTTTTAAGAGCTAGGCCCTCACTACAATGAAAAAGCAAATAAATTAAAAAGAAATTTGTAACTAGAACCTGTATTGACAGGAACTAGGATCTGTACCCCAACTCAAGATTATAGCTGGACGTAGAGATAAGTACTCCAGCTCTACCCCTTAATTGAGGGAAAGAAGCCTGGAACAACTGAGTAATTTGTCAAAGATATCACAGTTTCTTGCTCAAATCATGGACACAACCCATGACTTCTCTGACTCCTGTTTCTGTATTCTTTCTGATATATCATACTTGTTAGAATGAGAAGAAGTGAGACAACTCCCTTTCTATCCTAAGTTGTATGAAAAAGACCTTCTACTGTTTTTTGGTTGTTTGTTTGTTTTGTTTTTTGGTACCAGGGATCAAACTCCCAAGACCTTCTACTGTTATTCATTCATTTAGTTCAATCAAATTAATAATAAATGTAGTTCCTTCTTGTGTACATACTATGTGCCTGGAAATCTTCAGACATCATCTCACCCCTTTCAACCTTGGAACATATAAAAAGTTATATTCATATCATAGATGAGAAAACTAAGGCTCAGAGGGAAAACTGCTGATATTCACATGTTCTCTGGAGCTCTAGACTATTGGAGTTTGAATTTGACCAAAATTCTTATGCCTCCATTGGCAGTTCTGACTTTGGGCAAATTCCTTAAACTTTCTATGCCATAGTTTCCTCCTTTGTAAACTGGAGAAACTAACAATACCTGTTTCATGGAATATTTGTAAAGATCAAATGAGGTAAGCTGGCACGGAGTCAACTCTTGATGAATAGTAGCTATCATTAATATGAGTTACTAAGTTAGGGAGCAAAGATTTGATCTCTCAACTGCAAGCCTCCAAAGCCTTAGCTCTTTTGACCATGCCAAACTTTTGCAGTAAAATAGCGTTCAGCAAATTTAATCATGGTGTTGTCTACAAAGTCTTGTTTTCATGGAATGAGAAATGGGGATCTGGGGGTACACACACTGGTTCTAGTCACAAGATGCCCCGGCGAAGAGCTGCACAAATAGGAAGGTAAAAGCAAGTGTAGAGTCAAGGATTTGATGCAGCTGTGCGTACAGAGTTGTTCTTTGCATGGTGTCACCATTTATCAACATTCAGAAGAATTAATAGTCATTAATTAAAACTCATCTTTAGCCAAAGATTTTGTTCTGCCCCAAGGACAAAGGGGTCCTTCACACTTTGGAGTTGTGCTGTGCAGAAACAGACATATTCCTCAAGAAATATCCTTGGTATTAAAAAATAAATGTAGTAAATGATGAAATATGGGATAATGTGGGACAGACAGACAGGGTGTGTTTCAGCCAAGGCATGAACAGTCCAAAACAGACGGGTCAGCCAAGCGCCTTGACACACCCAAATTTTGTCCACACAGGCTGCAAATCAGGCTCTCTACTGCAAAATTGAATTTTCTTTGTAAAATGTTTGTGTCCATTTTTCCTATGTTTAGATAGAAGTCAAGCCATTGAATCTTTTAAATATTTAAACATGTGAGATGTATGTCATAGATTAATGTCTTAGTGTAAATGGAGTTGTCCCACAGGAAATTTATGTCTCGATTGATTGTCTTAATAGCAGCTATGTTTTAAAATAGCTTACCAGGAAATTGTGTTAGGTGGTACAATATTGAGTAGTAGCAATTTTTTTTGTAATGCTAAGCTCACAGTGGAAAAAGTTGCCAGGCATCATTATAACAGAATGGAGCCAATATGTCAATATATTTCATGATTATAGTTCAACAAGTTATTAAAATATTTCTAGAACTTTCTTGGCTGAAAATTTTTGAAAGCAGTATTTCTTTCATTTTGATGTAGTTCTGAAATTTATTTCCATGATATTTTATAGGTAGAAGCAGGCCTTGTGCATCATAGCATGTTTTCTACTTTTTTTATAATTATCTCTCAAAAGATCTGACTCCTTAAAACATAATAAATAATTATTTCAAAGTATTTATTTAAATTTTTTCTCTCTCTTTTTCAGCTGACCCACCTTTTATCAGTTTTGTCCCTTCATCCAATGGTACAGGCAAGATTTCAAAAAAAATTAAAAACTATATTTAGCCCAATTTGTTAAGTTTTAATTGTATCATTGTATTATTTTTCTCCTTGGAACAAAAAGAGGTTGAAACTACACACCTCGATGGTAAGAATTTTTCTGAAGCAAGTGAAAATTTATAACCTTTAATGTGAATAGAAGTATAATGAACGTTGTTGAAGATTTCTATCTCTAAATTATTTCTTAGTACGCTGAATAATTTCAAATAACCCCCAAAATCAAAAACAAACCCTCTCAACCGTCAAGGGTTACTTAGACTTTCTAGTTAAGTGATGAAACTCTCACAGCACTCTTCTAAGCTCTAACTATTCTAGAAGAGAAAAAAAATATTGATCACATTTTGAGTTCCATTTCACTTGTTTCCAACACAATGCCAACAAGTTTTATGTGACAGGTTGTTTAAATGTGGAAAGCACATCCAGTGACTTCAATATGATTCAACATAGGCTGGAGGCACAGGGTGTTCAAAGACAACCTTTTTATAGATGATATTATCAATTTTTAATGAGTGTGAAAAGAGAATATTGGCCTCATCGTACTAGAGAAAAGTATTTGAGAGAGATTGGCAGGGTGGATAAGCACATTGTTTCTATCTCTCTGATCAAAACTGGTTTAAATTCAGATGCAGCCCTGGGGGAGGACCAAAGGTTATCATTTTTATGTGTAACTACTTTTTACTGCAATCAGAATATCTTCAGTTTAGCTTTGGCAGAAGGTTTTGGATGTGTGTGTGTGTGTCCATTTGTGTGTATAAGTGTGATAATGTAATACATGCCTAATTTTCCTAAAATTTTATCCAAAATAATAAATTGTAGAATCATTTTAATTTAAAGAGATACTAATATAATAGATTTTAAATTGAATTTTAAATTAGGATCAAAATAAGTTCTCTTAATGAGCTAGCTGAATGCAATATTTAAGACATCCAGTTTTACTGGGCATGGTAGCACGTACCTGTAATCCCAGCACTCTGAAAGGTTGAGGCAGGAGGATCGCTAATTCAAGCCCTGGCCAAACAACTTAGCAACTTAGTGAGACTCTGGCTGAAAAACAAAACAGTAAGAAATGGACAAGTGTGAAAGCCCTGAGTTCAATCCCCATTACCTGTCCCCCACCTCACTCCCCACAAAAATCAAAATTTCAAGTTGCTCTATAAGAGTGTACCTGTAAAAATGTGTGAAATACCTCCAAGGCTATCTGTTAAAGATGGCATTAGTGTTGGAAATTCCATGTCCCTCAGAGACTTTCATTATCATAGAGATAAAAGAGGATAAACGATTAAGCAACATATGGCTTTATTTCAATCTATGATTGTAAGAGTGTTGCTATGTATTAGACATACAAACTGACATTTAGGAAACACATTTTGAAAGAATGAATGTTTGCTAGGCGCTTGTCTCTGGGCATGGGTAAATGGATAAGGTGATGATGACCAGGAACAGCTGCATTTAGTAGTACCAGTTGGCTTGTGCAAAACTGTTATGTTTTCCCAGATTTGGGGAAAAGTAAAACATTTAAGGAACCTGAGGAAACTCATATTTGTTCACCATGCTAGTATTTATGCTAATTTTTATTATTTTATTTCAGATGCCACTTCAAGCATATTGTCTACTTTAAACAAAACAGGTAATACCAAGTTATTTCCAAATATTATAGCTTAATTTCTGTGGCTTCTTGAGTTTCTGACTTGTGTGATCCATTGGATTACAAAAGAGTTTCCTTTGTCTCTCTGCTTACTTTCCTGCACCTTCAACTATTGATATGTTACTCCTTTGGCTTTGACATTGAACTATGATTCTGTTGTCATCATGCTCCCAAACTTCCAAGCTTTTGTGGCTATAGCACTCCATTTTATATAGCCTGTAATGTTACTTTGATTATCATAGTGAAACACTGGCTCATAAAAAATGGAAAACATAGAGAAATATAAAGAAGAAAATAGAAATCATCTTTAATGTTACTTTTCATAGACTACTACTGTTAATAATTTGGTGTATATTTTATTCAGTATCATATGTATTTATAAACATATACTCTATGTATATATCCTTTGCAAAATAGTTTACATAGATTTTTTTCTATCATGCTCTTTGACTACATATTAAGTGGTATTTGCCAGTGTCCCTTTCTTGAGTGGCTTGATGATATTCCATTGTGTGCTGTATGTTGAACATTAAAAGTTCTTTGTATTTTTTAATAGAAGTTGTTGCAATGAGCATCCTGGTGCCAACATCTTTGTATTCATCCCTGATTTTTGTAGGGTATATTCCAAGGATTAGACATAGTGGGTCAGCAGTATGCTTATTTTAAGGCCCTTGATACATACTTCCCAATTACCTTCTAGAAAGGTTGTACCCAGCAATCTCCCCACCATCAGTGGATGACAATTACACTATGTCTTTGCTAAGACTACATTGCATATTATTAAATCTTGCTCTCAGTTCCTTAGATTTTGTTTTACATTCTTAGTTACTTGTGAGGTTGAATATTTCCCCCAAAACCACTGTAAAAGTCACAAATTCATTTCATAGTTGTGGGTTATTTTGCTCTGGAAAAGGAAATATCAGAGAATACAATGTAATATATTTAAAGGATTGTTAATGATGATGGAAGATGCCATCTGCCTCTATAGCTACCACCAGACATTCCCTGTGAGTCACAGATTGAAATGAACTCAATAATCGCGCGCGCACATGCGCGCACGCATACACACACGCAAACACGAAGTTTTTGAAACTGTCAGTATTAACATCATTCTTAAGTGTGTCTCCACCCTCTGAGCTTGATCTTTTCTTCAGATTTTGCCCATCTGCCCTAAGAGACATAACTCCTGGCAAATCTGTGCCCTGAATACAGCCTCTTGTATTTGGCTATCCTTACAGTAAGGATTTCTGAGCCTGGTTCACCATTTTATGGGGAATAAGCCATAGGCTCTGCCTTTAAGCCATGTTGGAAAGATATTTCTAATGTTTGCTTCTTCACAGCAGGTGAATATTTGCTTATAAGTCCCTAACTTTCAACAGTTCTGGTTCTGCCGTAGGCTTGTTTGAATGGTCTTACCTTTCTGAGAATAGTTTTACCTCAGTTCAGTGGAAAAGTGTTGTATTGACTCCTGAAAAATAGCTGGGTGCTTAATTGTGGACTGTAGCAGGAGTATTTTAGATCCCATGTATACTTATTCACATTACTTTTTACTCTGAGTCACCTGTTCTTTATGACCTATTACCTGAATGCCCTATGTAACTTAATTTTATGTATCTGAAGTGTAAATTCTAATTCATTGGTCTAGCAGCAGTACCTAGAAACCAAAACAGGATTACAGGGCACCGAGGTGTATAATGGATATGACTCAACTGGGTACACCCAGACCCACCCCATAGCAATGCTACATGTTCTGTGTATGTGAGTCCCATCCACTCTGCTGCTGAGATCACCAAGAGTGTCTTTAAAATGTCAACAGTGTGATTTTCTTAGCACTTCACTTTAAAAAATGATGCTCATGGCAAATTGTTTTTTTTTAAAAAACAAGCAACAATTCTGCTCTAATATCTAAATTGCTTCTTTGCAGAAAAAGCTAAAATCACTATAGTAAAAACCTTCAATGCATCAGGTATGACTTATTATCAATATCAAGACTTTCTTTTTATAACTAAAATAAGATTAAGCAAATGGCTTGTGTTTATGGTTTCTTCCTCCTTTTTTTCCTACTTTTCAAAAATAAAATCTGTTCTTAATGAATAGATGTGAATGCCCTGGGTACCTGAAGTTGTATTAGGCATTTAGGGCTAGGTAATAATGATCAGGTACAGTGCTCCAGCTCAATAATCTTGTAGTATAAGGAAGAGATCAAGTAACTGACATGAACATGCATGCAGATGAAGGCAATAACTCCACAAGTCTTTCTTTCCTATTCTTTTCTTTCTGTTGGGGATGGAACTCAGGGGTTCTTGTGCTAAGCATGTGATATACTGCTAGGCTGCATCCCCAGCCTAAAAAAGGTATTTCTAACATTTCCTTAGCACAGGAAATAGAGGGACTAGTAGTAGTAAGCTTATCAACAGCATGAAACTAGTACAAGAGTTGGAGATGACGGTCAAACTCTTTTGAAAGTAAGGAAGAGGTATATAGTACTTTTAAGCACCCGCTGCAAGATTGCACAGGTATGCTCAACAAGGACTTCTCACTAGTTTTAAGCAGGAATTGGTAAACTATTGCCAGTGAGCCAAATCTGACTCACTACCTATTTTGTAAATGAAGTTTTATTGAAACACTGTCATTTCTCATTTGTTTACATGTTTTCTGTGGCTGCTTTTCTGCCACATAGAATAGTAGAGTGAAATAACAGAAGCCATATGACCCGCCAAGCCTAAAATATTTACTATCTGACCCTTTTCCAACAAAGTTTTCTTGCTCAGGACTTAAGGAATGTTCTGTGGCCATGTCCTTGGGGGAGATTACAGATAATAGTCCTACAAATAGGAGAAAAAATTTTCAGTATGAATGAGCAGCAAAAATACACACATCACTGGAAACAGAGGTGCGGGTAAAGTTGAAAGATGAGGCAGGTAGAATGAAAAAGTCAGAGAGCAATGGGCCAGTGGTTTAAGAGACACTGAAAATATTACTACCTACCATCTATATACTCTGCATTTGCCTAGTGTATATGTTATAATGAGTTATATCTGTAAGCAAGTATATTTAACATGAACTCTTTCTCTTTTGGTGTGGGTAACACTTCTGTGGAACAGTATAGAAATCCACATGTCGGGTAACTTGGCAACTAAATTCAGTTTGTTCACAGAATCAAAACTCTTAGCTGAAGCATGATGCCTATAAATCATTCTGGCAAAAGCCATACACATACACTAAGTCAAATTATATTTTTAGCTTTTATCCAAACTAGTTTTCTCAGAGGAACAAAACGAAGGACTCATAATATGCAATAGACATAAGCTAGCAGTTGGGCATTGCATATATAATTCTGTCCAAACAAGACCTAATAAGGAGACCAAAAGATTCCTTAATATAATAATTTTTCCCACTTGGCAGTTTGCTTAGTACATTGTCAGCGTTTGCCTCTCCCATTTACTATGGATTTCTTGCCCTTCAACAAAAGGATCCAATTAAGGAAGGAATGATTTCTAGAGAAGTAAACCTTAAACACTTTTCAAATTTAAGAAAGAGATGTATTTTCCCTTTTCACCAAAGGAGAAAGTGTTTTTCAGATTAGTCTGTGTGAAGTGTTTGTTTCAGTTTGTCTCGTTTCATCTCCCATTCCTCTGTCTCCTTTGTATTTCTGTGTGGTCTGACATCCTGGCCATCACTAAAACTTGTTATTTACTGGCTGGGATTACCCGCTAGATTGTAAGCTCCTTGAGGGCAGGGTCTGTATCCGGAACCTCTCCAAACCTGTAGAATATAGTAGGTGCTCAGCAAATGTGTTTTGAGTTTAGTGTTTTTTTCTCCTGAAAGAATATAATGTCATTAATGTTATTTAATACATGCATTTGCACAAAGAGCTAAGATCAACACAAGATTGTTCCAGACCCCACCCACCCACCCAGGGAAAAAGGAAGATCTATAATTGAGGGCTCTTCCATTTAAAGTCTGTACTTGAATTGTTTCCATGGTACTCTGTTTCTGTCAGACAGGAGAGTGTTCACTGCAAATGGAACAGAAATATTTGGAACTGGTATACTAAAGAATAGTAGAGTCAAGTCCCATTGCTTACCAACTAAAGGAAAACTGTCTCATTCCTTTCGTCTTTCTGGAATTCAACCAATTGTATTTAGCTTCTTGATATTTTTGGTTCACATTTGATATCTTTCTTTGTGAGTTTTCTTCACAGTGTAGTATATAAGTACAGGTGTTCGTATGCCTAACCAGGTGAGTTGTTTTTTTATTGACGGACTGACTGACTGATTGATTGATTAATTGATTGCAGGAGTCAAATCCCAGAGAAACATCTGCAATTTGTCAACTATTTGCAAAGACTCAGGTTAGTTCTTGTGTGCATTATACATTTGTGCCATAAAGAAAAATGATTTGTTTCTTTCTTGTCATGTATGTGTGTCTCCCTGACCTGTCTCTTTTCATACTACCTGGCTATTAATAGTGCTGAATAAAAAAGCAAATTTTTGATATGACTAAAATTATCTTCCCATTTTCTAGTGAGACAATAGATTAACTTCTTTAATGTGAGACATGAAGTGAAAACTATAACTATAGTGAAAACTATTTGTTGTAGATAGCATTCACTATAGCTTTCAATTTATAACTTATACCCTCAGAGTTAATTCATGAGTACAACACTGAAATTGCTATTAATAATTCAGTCACTTTTTATATGTAAATTCCTCAAGCTTTTCCTAGGACCTTAAGGGTTATAGCTAAGAAACAAGATGTTACTCTTTGTTAAAAATAAAACCAGACTGCTAGCATGTTGAAATCTCATATGCACCCCATTCATTAAAATGCTTAATTCCAGTAGTGTTTATGGTGTGTTTTGCTTTCTGTAAGCCTGTCCACTATTCTAAAAAATTGAGGTGAAAATCTCTTGAAAAAATACTATTCCTGGAATGGGGATATTTTCCTCTTATGCCATGGGCTACAGGAATGAAACAACTACTTTTCTCACATTGATTTGGCTCTATGGGCTCATTTCTTTATTAAAACCTGTGAAAATAAATGTGAAAAATGAAAATATGGTGTGATAGGAGTCATGGGAAGAGAGAAAAGGAAGTGACAAGATATTTTATGATAATAAAGGCGTGGTATAACTCTAGTAATAAACACTTGTTATAGAAGTGTTTCCTTTTTTTTGTTTTTTTGTTTTTTTGTTTTTTTTTTTTTTTTTGGTGCCAGGGATCGAACTCATGACCTCACGCTCACCAGGCAGGTGCTTATGTCACTGAGCTAAATTCCCAGGCCTGTTTCCTTTTATTTTGTTCCTTACAATAGTTTCATAATTTGTTTGAAATACATGGGTAATATCTTAGTCACTTTCTCATTGCTGGGATACAATACCCAACATTTACAATTTAAGTGAGAGGTTTGTTTTGGTTCACATTTTAGTCCATAGTCAGCTGGTTCCAAGGCGGGACAGTGTGGCAGAGGGGCAGAGCAGCAAAGGGGTATGGAGGAGGTGAGCTGTTTACATCACGGTAGACAAGAATCAGAAAAAAGGGAAGAGCAAAGGAGGATGATAAACCTTTCCATACCATGCCTCCCCTACCATCCCCCACGACTGCCTCTTCCGAAATACCAAGTCAGCTGTAAGCCCCATAATCCAAACACCTTCCAAAAGCTCCACCTGTGAGCCCATGATGCTCTTGAGGAACATCTAAGTAGAAACCATAACAAGTAACAATTTCAAGTAAAATAAATTAAGGTTGGACAACAGAAACAACATTTCTTACTAAAAGAATGTTTCACACTTTCTGATGTGTGGTATAAGATTTTCTCGTTTAAACTTTCTGCTGGTGTGCTTCCAGTAGAATATAGGAGGGGATTGTTAACTGGTTTTGATTAAGGAAAAAAAGAAAACCTAGTGGATACATTTTAGTTTCATATATTGTATAACTTTCTCTTCCCTCTTTCTCTCACTTTTTTTTACTGAATTCCCCATAATGTCATGGTTTTTTGTGTTTCATCTGTGTTTTTGGTTGGTGATTAATTCCACTATGTCTGCATGATGTGTAATAACTGTTTGAAATGTATAGGGGTAGAAAGCCTAGTCATCTTGAATAACAGATGCCATAAAGCTGGTTTGAGTAAGGTTTTCCCCAGTTAAATGACTGAATTGACCATTTGTTTTAGTTTCTGGTGGAAACAGTTTCATCAAGGGAACCAGCTCTTTTAGCACCACAGATCCCATGGTGTCCTGTCAGAAACTAAAAACTTTGCTTCTTGCAGGTTTCTAATCTGGGTCTATGGAAAGAAATGGGGGTTGATGAAGAAGCTGGGATGTGATCAAGAAGAGTTATACTGAGGGTCAAAAGATAGTGGCTCTGTGCAATCAGAATCACTGTGTTCCCAGCACATTTACAAAACTTCCCATGCACTCAACAAGAAGGAGGAGGCACTCTGGGTGTCAGCGCATGCATACACGAAGAACCTAAATAGGCTTTTAAAAGCTAAGATGTTCTTTTAAAAATGCTTAAATAATCCTATGCAGATATCAAATATTTTTGCTTTTAATAATTATATTCTGTATTGAGATCTCAGTATGACTGTAAAAATTGAAGTTCTCAGTAGAAAAGTTGATGAAATAAATCATGTTAATCACTGATCCAGCAGTTTGCCTGCCATTCATTACTAAGTAGAAGTAGATTGTAGGCTATATACCTATGAGAATCAACTGTACTTGGGAGTGCAGTAAAAGAAGATGAGCATCCCTATATCCCAGCAATCTAAGAGGCTGAGGCAGGAGGATCACAAGTTCAAGCCCAGTGTAGGCAATGTAGCAACCTAGTGAGACCCTATCTCAAAGTAAAAAATTAGAAAATAACACCAGTGACAGCGTGGTGCAGAGGCCCTATGTTCAATTCCAAGCACCTAAGGAAAAGGAGAGGGAGAGGAGAAGGAGATAGTGGCAGCAGCAGCTCTTCCAACCTGTCTAGGTGTTGACCACCTCAGATATGGCCAGCCGTCTGTTTTTGTGAACAAAGTTTTATTGGCACACAGCCATGCCCATGTACTTACATATTATCTACGGCTGCTTGCATGAAAAGTTGGGAAGTTCCTACAGAGATTATATGGTCCATAAAAACTCAAGTATTTGCAAACTGACTTATTCAGTAGCAAACCTAGTGAAAACTGAAATACAGAAACATTGCCTGGACCCTGTTCTGGTTTATACAGCATCCTTGCCCTATTGCTCAAGAGACCTGTTTTTAGTCCCTGTGTGGAATGCATCCATGTGCCTCTGTTTAGGTTTCTCTATTTCCAGTTATAGTCAAAGCCCCTACAAGTTTCCCACAAGACAGAAGTTGACTAAAATTAAGATTATATTTCCAAAAGTGAGCATTTTAAGAACAAAAGATTTTGATGTTTCTAGAGCAAAAGGAACATTGACTTGTTCAGCTAAAGAGAGGATTTGCCCTGCACACTGTTCACGTTCCAAAGCAAAAGCTCAGCCGTGTTCTAGGAATGACACTGCACTGAGTAGCCGTATTTTAATAATAAAAACAAAAATGAAAAAACTGGCAGAGTATAAATAGACTTCCATAGTGCTAACTGCTAAGAAACCCTGTTTCCCTCCTTTCTTTATCTATGTAACCACCACTGAAACTTGAAAAGATTTTTAAGTTAACTGTAGAACCACCAGGTACCTTTAAGGGAAGTAAAGTTCTGAAAAGAAGCACATGTGGACAAAAATTTCTTGACAAGTTTCTCTCTTTCTGAATTCCCCATATAAAATTATGGTTCATATTTTCTGGAAATTATGTTAATAATCATTGTGTAACTTATTGGAAAGAGAATAAATGGGAGTAAAAGCAGAGAACTTGAACCTGCTAATAAAGCAGTTTGGTAATATTTTTACATATTGTATTAATCCACAAACTGTAAAGATACAAGTCTCAAATTTCTTTTTGAAAATTTATTTTTAGTGTTTTTTAGAGGCGAGATTACATTTCAAGACCAAGAACCCAACATTACCCAGGTAGGTTTTAATTTTTCTTACTGAAATCTTGAAAAAACAAATTTGCATGCTTTTTGGAAGTTCAGATTATTTATGATATTTGGCATTTTCAATTTTATGACCAAACATAAGAAATTCATACTTTTGTAATAAAAGCTTAAATTCCTAATAATCATGATGTTTCGTTAATAAATAATTATATTTTAGTTTTTACTAGGTTTCCTACTGAATAAGCATTATGATGCAATTCCATTCCCAGTTTACATTTTAAATCACATTAGGAATTCCTAGCAAAAAGAAATGGTATTGAGTCTAAGAATAATCTTCCAAATTGGATTGTGTTCCCCTATGGGGGAACCCAGTGATATCTGTCTTTGTATAACCTAGATTGGTTCTGAGTATCCCAGCCAAACGTGCTTGTTTATTCAGGGACCATTTCCTGAACACCTTCTATGTGTCAGGCCATGAACTGGGTGCTAAAAATGACAACCATGGTTGCTATTGTTTCCCTGCTTATGGGAGTCTCTTAAATATGGGAGTTGTCATTGAGAAAGCTTTGATACTGTCCTTTTGCAGGAACTCTTGAATGAAGAAAGACAGAAATTAGCCCATGAGTGCTGCTGGCTTGGAAATTTAAAAAATAATCATAAACCAAAAACAGTCACGGCCAACATGAGTTAACTTTTGAGCAATACTTTTCCCCTCCTCTCCCTTAGCTATGGAACTGCAATGTGATTATCTAGTAGATGGTATCCCATGGAGTTAGGAATCAGTCTTTAAGATATAGGTAAGGGGTCAAAGTGAAGAGCAACTTCTTGTTAGAGAGTATATATTTAAAAATTAACACTAAATGATGCTTGTTGTGTTCTTAATGATTTTTTGCTTCCAACAGAATCAAAATATAACCAATAGTACCTACACTGGAGTCCTGTCGATAAGTGAATTGAAGTGAGTAATCAGCTGTTTGACTTAAAACTTTAGACATCCAGAAATATACTTAACCCATTTTTGCTTTTGGAAACCAATAGTGGGGAAGACACAAACTCAAAGGATATCGTGCTACTTGATTATTGCCTACTTTGCAAACTAACCCACGGTTACCTCTCATCAACTGGCTCTCTCTAGTGCTTGAATTATACAGCAGCATCATTTGAATTGGTATTTGAGTTTTAATGTGATTCAGTATCCAGCATGATTGAAAGAAGAGTTCAAGGCAAGACTGTCTCCATGTATACCATTCATTCATGTTTTCATGAACCGTCAGTGATTCAAAGGTCAGAGAGAAAGAGAGATCTTTGATAAGTAGGCTTCAGCTTACAAGGACAAGCACAAGCAATGAGAAGACCTACAAATAGGTGCTCCCAATTAGACCATAGGTGAAGTGTCAGGCAGCATGGTGGCGTAGGCTATAGGCAGTCTTACTCTGTCATGAGGAGGAACAACTTCAGGAAAGTGACATTTATGGGATAACAAAGGATATTCAAATGGATCTGAAAATAAAAGAGGAGCAGTTAGCCCTGACTAGAGGAGCCATGAACCCCCTTCCCCCAGAAGAAAATAGCCTTCTGAAGCTGACTGACTATTGCCATAGTCTTTCTCTTTTTCTTTCCAGACCCTCCCTGGAGCCACCTAGAATTATTTCCCATTTCTAGGAGCATGGTTTTTCAGCCTCAGCACTACTGACATTTGGGGCTTGATTTTTTTTCGTTATGGTGGCTGTTCTGTGCACTGTAGACTATTTACCAGCATCCCTGACCTCTATCCACTAGGTGTCAGTAGCACCCTCCCCAGTGTAACAACCAAATTTGCCTCCAGGCACTGCCAAATGTCTCTTGGGGGACAGAGTCACCTCCTGTTTAGAACCATTGCCTTACAGTGAATTCTTTAACCGGAATTCTTTCACCCAAACTTCACTGAATCTCTTCCATGCTGAAGAAAAGAAAATATTGTTGAAATGGGGTTGGAGCGGAGGAATGAGAGCAGTTCCTAGAGGGGCTTCATGAGGTGTGGAAGGCAGGCCTGCAGAGTGCTAGAGAGGCTGCGTGAGTTGAAGAGGGATTGAAGAATCAATCAAAAGCACAGGGTGTGTGGCTTCACCTTCTGAGAAATTTCTGCCTCAGGCTTGCTCTTTCTCTGGTCCCCTGCCAGAACAAACTGCCTAGGGGGATGTAGTGGCCTAATGAATAACAAGATTGTTCAACCATAATTTGTATCTTGCCCTTAGCTAGAACTGATCCAGCTCCCATCTGATTAGTTTCCCTTGTAGTATAAATCATTTATTTTTCCTGCATAGCAATTTCTCATTATACCCTCTGTTTCTTCAAAGTGAGCAGTGTAAGCAATAAATACTATGTGCTTGGTTTAATTGCTAAAAATCTAGCTTGTTTTGAACTTCACATTACTAATGGTCTCATTAATGTCAGTTTCTTCCATTTTATTAACAGACGATCGGAGCTCAACAGAACCCTACAAACTTTAAGTGAGGTAATCACACTCTACCCTGTACAGTTGTTTATAAAATAATGGTTATTATCTGGGGGAAAGTGTGGAGTGCTGCATTCATGGGGAGATATACATTCAAATTTCCCCAGATCTTTTTGTAAAAGAGTGAATGGTCTAGTTCTGTTGTTTCAGAAAGCAAAATAGGAGCAATGGGTGAAAATTATATGGAGGTAGATTTTCTTTCATGTAAGACCAAAAGTTTCTTAAAATGAAAACTCTGGGAAAATGTGCTCCTTGTGTACTGCTGAGATCTCCAACCCTGGAGAGATATCAGCAGAATTCATAGGGCCTTAATAGATTTTGTGATGTATTGGGAATCTAACAGGAATGTGAAGCTAATATCTCTTACCATTCTTGTGATTCTAAAATCTGTTATTGGCCCTGGGTCATCTTTTTTCACATTTCCAACTGTCAAAATAATGCGTATTTTTGTTTGTTTGTTTTTTCAGGCTTATTTTATAATGTGTGCTACGGAAGAGGCCCAAAGGTCAGTCATTTTTAATTCTTTTACAAACACCATTGTTTCAGCATTTGTGAAAAATAAAGTATGAAGGTGTCTTAAATTGCAAATGCAAATGCTTTCTTCTAGCATAAATACATATTAGTGACATTTTAGGGTTATATACTTTTATTTTTCCAAATATTGATCACTCTATCACATCTATCTTCTTATTTTCTTATGAAGCATCTGGAGTTTTGTGGTATCAGGCCTTTAATCTCTCATTCTATAAGGCTAAAGATCATCAGGGCCCTTGGCTCTGAGTGGATATAAATATGTCCAAGAAACTTCTCACAGGTGGTCCAGGAAAGTGAAGACCAAACAAAGACAAAGGAATATAATATGGAACTTGGAATAAGGAGAAAGGAAAAAATTGGAAAGAACAAAAGAAATTAAAAGTGCATGCAATAATGAGTCAGAAGACTGTCCAACAATTATTTGGAGTTGCACAGAAAACCATTTTATTTACTTATTTATTTGTCTTTTTGAGACAGAGTCTCACTATGAAGTTCAGGCTGGCCTTGGGCTCACTTTGTAGTCCAGCCTGGTGTGAAATGATCTGCCTGCCTCAGCCTCCCGAGTGCTGGGATTACAGGAGTGTAGCACCATGCCTGGTTTAGATAACCATTTTAAATCCTATCCATTTGCTGTCCTTGCTGCATAAGATAGTAGTTTGTAGAAGAATAATTGCTTCCTAAACCCTGAGCATTCCTTGAGATTCAGTCTTAGAAAATGACAGTTTCCACTCAACAAACTGCTCATTGGTACAAACCATGGCAATCCCTCCATGAAACTGTACGTTAGGTTCCTATCCACTATGTGTATTTTTTGTTATTTGTAACATTAATTATTTTTTCACCTATGCCAACTCGCAACTAGAAAGAAACAGAGAGAATGTCTTAAATTCTTAGTTATCTGATAATATTCAATTGCCAGACAGATTTTGGATTTAAGAGACCTTGATGTTCATCTAAGCTGCTTTTAGAAAGGACTGTCATGATGGAAACTCAAATGTCTGTGGACACCAGGCAAGTTGCCAGCTGGGAGTAAGACTAAACATGTCAAGGCACCTGTTTGCAGGCAAATTTCACCCCTGCCTGTTCATTGTGTAGACAGCAAAACAAACAGGCAGCTGTGTGTACTCAAAAGGTCTCTGGTATACAATATCTGTAAATGTGAACCTCTAAATGTGTCTTAAGAGAAATAAAGTCTTTGGGGTAAAGTTCAGACCATGAGTGTTTACAAGCTTATTTAGGGTGACATTACAAGTTAACACTCAATGCCTCTTTCACTGACTTATGTTCACAAAAGTAATTACAAATATATATTTCCAATTTAGTAACATTCTCATTATATATACCTCTTTTTACAGCACATTCAATTGTACATTCACAATAAAACTGAATAAGACAATGAATGTGTGTGCTATAATGGTTGCTTTTGGAAGAATATCGATTCGACCAATGGGTAAGTTGTCACTATCTCTATTTCTGCATTAGTTTTCACATGACTTTTTATGTGTTTTAACTGAAAATGTAACTAATACGCTTACATGTGTTTCAGCTTTGTGTTGACTCCTTTGTCCTTGGGTAGTGTTCAGAAAGTCCATTATTTTTCTGCTTTCTTAAAAAGTTTCTATATATCATCTGAAAGCATGATAAAGCTATCCTTGCATAAGAGAGAATTGTTTGAAATGTTCAGTAGGTTGCCACAGGAACATGCTTGCTTCCTTTTTTAATTGACAACTAGAAACATATATATTTATAGTGTATGACATGACCCTTTGATATACATTATGGGATGGCTAATTCAAGCTGTTTAACATATGCATTGCTTCACATGTTTATTTTTGTGGCATAACATGCCCTCAGCAATTTTCCAAAGGTACAATATATTGTTTATTAACTGTAGTCACTATGTTGCAAAATGAATCTTTCAAAGTTAATCCTTTTTAACAAAATTTTGTGTACTTGAACCAACAGTTCCTCAGTTTCCCCACCCTAATCTTCTGGGAACCACCATTTTATTCTCTGTTTATATTCGTTAGACTTTTGTAGATTCCATAGGTGAGTGAGATTGTGTGGTATTCTCTTTCTGTGCCTGGCTTATTTCACTTAATGTAATGTTCTCTGGGATAAGGTTTACTTCAGAATGCCTCCTAAGAGTTGCTCAAGAGTGACTCTATTGCACTCATATAACCCAAAAAGAAAAAAGTTATTCACTCAAATATTTTAAGCACTTACTATGTATGTATGACTGTCACTGTAAAAGACATCCATAATTTTTTCACAAGTTACAGACAATCACTCTTTAAAACACAGTGAGTATAAGAACCATATATTTATGGGTATAAGTGTACACCTTGTTTTTTTTAATTCTTGACCATGCATTTTCTCTTTCCTTTTTATTTATGTCTCCTTCAGAACAGTGTTGCTGTTCTGTCAAGACACCCTGTCCTTCCTCACCAGAAGAGTTAGAAAAGCTGCAGTGGTATGTAGCAAACTTGCTGGTGCTTGTCCAAAAGCAAACAAAAAAATTGTGTGTGTATGTGTGTGTGTGTGTAGACATTTAATCACCATGCTGGCTAAGAATTGTTGAAATTTCAAGGGTGAAGAAGCGCTTTCAGTTTTAAGGAGAATGTAGTTTTCTGTTCTATGAAGTTTCCTGCCATTTGGATCATTACCCCCTAAATCAATGCTTTGCAATTTTAGCTGCACATTAGAATTACCCGGGGACCTTACAAATATTCTGACTTGCCAAAGACTCACCAAATAGTTTTACCATTTAGAATAGTTTTTGACGTGCTGAAAATTAGAAATGTTTTTTCATTTTAAAGACAATAAAGCAAAAGAAGACAGAGCAAAGCAGATCAGATCAGAACATTGTAAGCAACACAGCACTTCACAACAAGACAACAATATTAACAGTAGCTACCATAATGTCTCTTTTTTTGAAATAGTTGAGCATACGTTCACACACAATAATATCAAACAAAACAAAATAGTATAAAACCATTCAACAGAATGAAAGTATTACAGGGCATTCAGAACCAAATAACAGAAAATGAACAATTGCTACTATAATATGTCATTTTCCATAAAAAATTGTTTATACTATCACACATATTAAAATCCAATAAGACACAACATGATAGAGCCAATGGAAATAGAACAAAAGCATGGTTGGACTTCAAAGCAAGAGGATATTAAATCAGCAATGGCTGCCATAATGTCTTGTTTTCTTCAAAATAGCTGTTCATACCATCACACATAATAAAATCAAACAAAACAGAATAAAACCATTCCAATTAATGAAATAAAACATTATAAGAGGGGCTGGGGGTTTAGGTCAGCAGCACAAGTGCCTGCCTAGCAAGCACAAGGTCTCAAGTTCAATCCCCAGTAGCAAAAAGAAAAGAAAAGAAAAGAAAGAAAGAAAGAAAGAAAGAAAGAAAGAAAGAAAGAAAACATTATAAGGCCTCAAAGCAATGTAATGGGGAATCACGATTACCATAAAATCTTATGTACTCTTACCATTTCTTACACTAAGGAGACTATATGATATTTATACATGTGAGTTTGATTTATTTATTTTGTTTATGAATATGATCTCAAATTGTATCCATTTATTTATAAATATCTCAATGTGGTCATTCTTTATAGCTGAGTAGTACGCCAATGTATAAAAATACCGTAACGTTTTTATCCCTTCCTCAGTTGATGGGCACGTAGGTTGTTTCCAAGATCTGGCTATTACAAATTGTGCTGCTATAAACATGGGTGCACATATATCACTGTAGTATGATGTTTTCAATTCTTATGGGAATATGCCTAGAAGTAGAATAGCTGGGTCAAATGGGAATTCCAATCCTAGCATTTGAGAAATCTCCAGACTGACCTCCACAGTGGTTGCACCAGTCTACACTCCCACCAACAGTGCAGGAGAGATCCTTTTCCCCCACAGCCTCTCCAGCATTTGTTGTTGGTAGTTTTCTTGATCCTGGCCATTCTTTCTGGAGTGAGATGAAATCTCAGTATGGTTTTAATTTGCATTTCTCTAATGACAATGATTATGAATATTTTTTCATGTATTTATTTGCCATTTGTATTTCTTTATCTGAGAACTCTATATTCATCTCAGATGCCCATTTTTGGAATGGGTCTTTGAATTTTTGGGATCTGATTTTTTAATTCCTTACATGTTCTAGACAGAAGTCCTTTGTCTGAGGGACAATTCACTAAGACTTTTTTTCCCAATTTTTGTGTTTTCTTTTCACTGTTCAAGAGATTTCTTTCGACATGCAGAAACTCTTTAATAGGACTTGATCCCAGTTATTGATTCTGGGAAGTATTTCGCGTGTGGTTTGATTCTTGTTCATGAATTATCTACCTACCTCTATGTCTTCAAGATTTTTACCTACTTTGTCTTCCAACAGATTTAATGTTTCTGCTTTAATATTTAGATCTTTGATCTATTTTGACTTTAGTACATGATGATAGGCATGGGTCTAGTTTTAGTTTTTGGCATATGGAGAGCCAATTTTTCCAGCACCATTTATTAAAGAGAATGTCACTGTTTCAGTGAATGTGTTTGGACCCTTTATCAAAGATAAGGTGGGTGAGTGTGTTTGTAGTTGTGGTTGCATCTTTTAATCTATTCTATTGATCTTGAGGTCTGTTTTTTTTCCAGTACCATGTTTATTTTATTACAGTAGCTTTGTAGTGCACCTTCAAGTCAGTGATTGTGATGCCTCTTGCATTGCCTTTGCTTTTTAGAATTGCCTTTGCTATTTCAGGTCTCTTCTGGTTGCAGATGAAATTTAGGAGTGATATTGCTAGATATATGAGGATGTTGATGGTATTTTCATTGAGATTGCATTGAATCTGTATAAGAGTTTTGGGAGAATGGCCATTTTCAAAATATTTATTCTTCCTATCCAAGAACAAAGGATGTCTTTACATTTTCTGAGATCCTCTTCAATTTCTTCTTCAGGGTATTATAATTTTCCCTGAATACATCTCTTATTTCTTTCATTAGATCAATTCCTATTTATTTCATTTTTTTTGGATGCTAGTGTGAAGTGTGTGGCTTCTGTTATTTCTCTCTCTGTGATTTTGTTGTTGGTGTATAGGAATGCTTATTGATTTTTGAGTATTCATTTTGCATCCAGCTACATTGCTGAATTTATTTATTATATCTAGGAGTCTTTCAATGGAGTTTTGGGGGTCTTCTATGTAGAGTATCATGTCATCTGCAAATAATGCTAATTTAACTTCCTCTTTTTCTATCTTAACCCCTTTGATTTCTCTCTCTTGTCTAGTTGCTCTGGCTAATATTTCCAGTAGTATGTTGAATAGGAGTGGTGATAAGGGACATCCTTGTCTTGTGCCTGATTGTAAGGTAAAGGCTTTCAGTTTTTGGCCATATAATACAGTGCTGGCTGTTGGTTTGTTGTAGATGGTCTTTATTGTATTGAGGTAGAGACCCATCTATTCCAATTCTGTTCTTATCATGAATGAGTGTTGGACCTTATCAAAAACTTTTTCTGCATCTATAGAAATGATCTTGTGAGTCTTACTTTTGGTTCTATTGATATGGTGGATTACATTTATTGATTTATGTATGTTAAACCATCCCTGCATGCCTGGGATGAATCCCACTTGGTCTTGGTGTATAAAGCTTGATGATTTTCTACATCCAGTTTACCAATATTTTATTGAGAATTTTTGCATCTATGTTGATTAGGGAGATTGGCCTGTAGTTCTCTTTTTCAGTTGGGTCTTTCTCAGGTTTTGGTACTAGAGTAGTATTTGCTTCCAGGAATGACTTAGGAAGAATTGCTTCCCTTTTGATTTCCTTGAGGAGTCTGAGAAGTGTCGGCATTAAGTCTTCTTTGTATTTCTTATAGAATTCCGCAGTGAATCCGTCTGGGCCTGGGCTCTTCTTTGTTGGTAAGGACTTAATTACATTTTCAATTTCATTAATAGAAATTGGGTTATTCAGCAGTTTTACATCCTCTTGTCCCAGCTTTGGTAGTTCATATGTTTCTGTCCATTTCTTCTGTGTTATCAAACCTATGAGAGTAGAGGTTTTTGAAATAGGTGTGATGATTTTCTGTATTTCCACAGAGTCTAATGATTTCACCTTTTTCATTCCTTTTTGTATGAATTTGAGTTTTTTCTTTCCTTTTTTTCAATAAGGTTGGCTAGGGGCTTATCAATTTTATTTGTTCTTTCAAAGAACCAACTTTTTGATTCATTGTATTGTTTTCTTAGTCTGTATTGCATTGATTTCTGCACTGATCTTTAATTGCCTCCCTTATTTTGGGTTTGGGCTTGACTTGCTCTTCTTTTTTGAGATGTTTGAGGTGTAGCATCAGGTTGTTTATTTGTGTTCATTCTGTTTTCCTGATGTGGGAATTCAGTGCAACAAATTTTCCTCAGAGGACCACTTTCATTGCATCCCGCAGATTCCTATAAGTTATATTTGTATTTTTGTTTGCTTGTAAATACTATTTAATTTCTTCTGTGACCCATTGATTGCTCGGGAGTGTTTCCATGTGTTTTTGGGGTTTTTGCAGTTTCTTTTATCATTAATTTCTAGTTTCATGGTGCTATGAAATGATAATATGCATGGGATAATTTCAATTCTTTTGTATTTACTTAAGTATATTCAGTGGGCTAGTATATGGTCTGTTTTAGAGAATGTCCCATGTACTGCTAAGAAGAATGTATATTCTGATGTTGTTGGATGGAACACTCTGTATAGTCCTATCAAGTCCATTTGTTCACAGGTGTGATTCAATTCTGTTTTTTGTTTTGTTTTGTTTTGTTTTTTGCTAATTTTCTGTCTGGTTGATTTGTCTCTTTGTGTCAATGGTGTGTTAAGGTCTCCTGCTATAATTGTGCTATTGCTTATTTGATTTTTCATTTCTGTTAATACTTGTTTTGTATAGCTGGGTGCTTTGGAATTTGGTGCATATATATTTAAGGTTGTTATCTCTTCCTCTGGAAGTTTTCCCCTAACTAGAATGTAGTGACCTTTTTTATCTCTTCAGATCATTCTTGGTTTGAATTTCACATTGTCTGTAAACAGAATATCTACCCCTGCTTTTTTTGTGATTCCTGTTGCATGAAGTATTTTTTCCATCCTTTGACTTTGAGTCTGTGAGTTTCCTTTTGGGTTAGATGGGTTTCTTGTAGACAGCATATGGTTGGCTGTTGTTTCTTGATCCATTCTGCCAGTCTGATTCATTTAATTGGTGAATTGAGACCACTTACATTAATTGTTATAACTGTTATATATTGGTTTGTTGTTGACATATCTTTCTGCTGTTGTATCTTTATCTTTCCATTTTGTTTAATTGTCTGCCTTGCTTCGTGGTTTTTTCCTATGTCTATCTAGAATGTCTTTCAGTATTCTTTGCAGATTTGGTTTGGTGGTCAAGAAGTTCTTCAGTTGTTGTTTGTCATGGAAGTATCTTATTCTCT